CTTTCTTCCATACATATTTTTATCATGTAATGTTCGCCTTACAGTTTTTTCACTTATGTTAATGTTTGATTCCTTAAGTTCGTTGCATACTTCAATAATGGTTGTTTTAGGATTTTTTCTAACAATTTTTAAAACTTGTCTAGTGTCATGGTCTGTTAATTTCTTTGGTCTTCCAGGTCTTGAGACTGCAGAAGTTTTATTTTTTTTAAAATAATCATTGATAATATTATGAACAGTTGCTTTTGATCTCTTTAATACTTCAGCTATCTGATCATATGTAAAGTTGGCTTTTCTCAATCCAATAATTTCTCCATGTTCAAATTCAGTTAATTGAGTAGCTTTAGGCATTTTATAAATAATTTTTCAAAAAAGAAAAAAAAAAGAGATAATGTTTGTTTAACAGATGTAACTTAAAGTTTTACAAATTTTTTTTTGGATTTTCAAAATTCAAATTTTTTACTCTGTTGTATAATTTCTCAACAATTAATTCACCAAATGTTCTATAAATTCGTAACCAACTAAATCCAAACATTGCGATCATTTTTTACTTATTCCATAAGAAATGTTAAAACTTGCCATTGTGGTCAATTTTTGAGATTAAGATTTTTTAAAAATTTTTGAAAATTTTTCATTTATCTTTTAAGGTTCATATAACAATCAATTTTTATTTATATGCAATGAAACTTCAGTATGTTATAGAATTTGATATGAAAAAGGATTTCTACTTAATAAATAGGATCGATTAGGTTAATAAAATATTTAGTTTTATTACATCAAAGTCACTCGATTATTTTTGATGATTGACAAATGTTCATATATTTTTGTCCAGTGAGTGTATATCTGTATAGTATATACCAATTATACCAAGTTTATACTATACCATTATCAATATTTATGTACTACATATTAAAAAATTTTTATCTGTTATCTATTGTTTGTTATAATAATGTGACCACAACATTTCATCTGAAAGTATTTCAGGAAAGAAAAGGCACCAACCAATATCATACATTCTCCTGCAATTGTTGCAAACATACTGTGACTAGACAATCTTTTATATGTTACTTTCTTGTAATCTAAAAAACGGAATTTTATTGATGTTCATAATAAAACAAACAAATAACCATTAAAGGGTTTGCTAATAGTAAAGCTCCACATGAGCCAGCTCATGTGGAGCCTTAGCTGATAGGAGCTCAATTAAAGAAAAGGAAGAATTAGATAAATGTTTATCTCTAACCAAAAACAGGTTAGATTATTACTTTCATTATATAACATGGTATATAACATATTTATACCATTGTTAATTTTTATGACATTTTAGCAGTGGTATATATCACAACGATAAAAAAGAATTGAATGGTAAATATTGAACTCTGTGAAAAATCAGGATATGATGATAAAATGCCATCTATACCACAAACAGGCAAAAATCAATAAAAGCCTTAGGTTCTCAAAAGTGTACTTTGAGTAATTACATATGATCGGCGATTTTCCCCCAGTTTATTAAATATTGCAGTTTATAGAACCGGGAAAACTCTATTGAATGTCACCGCCAACATTATGATTCGAAAGTACTTTTAAAAAGAGGAAAGGTGACCGCGACACTATAATTCGGGTCAATAAAGAATTACATTTAAATCCAAATAAGGAAAAAAATCACGCCATAGGGCAGTGTTGGCAAATCTGTCCAAATACCCCTTGTCCGATTGTCCAATTTGTGTCCAATTTACTGTATTAGGTAATTTGGACTAATAGTTACTGCGGCATTTGGACAATTGGACAAATCCAAATAAAATTTAATTGGACACCTAAAAATGCCAACCCTGCCATAGGGTTACTGACCAGCCCATTTTTGGTTAATTATCGTAAATTATTTCCTAAACAGAAAAAACCAACCAATCAACTTTCGAGATTCGCGTTAATACGATCAGGCACTTAATTTGGCAGTGACCATTCAATAAAGTTTTCCCAGTCCTCAGTTTATTCAATAGACATGATTTCCATCAACTCTTTTGGTACTGATTTACATAATAAGTTCGTGTAATGAATGATCTCAATTATTCGTGTTTATTTATAATTAATATCATTATTCAATTATATTGGAAGAGCAAGAAATTTGTTTTTGGTAATATAGCAGTCAAAGCTTCTTTTGTTATTGTTATTATAAAGATTTATAAATATAAATTTTTTTTGTTTCATAGCAACTTTCTTCTCGTTCCTAAAATCAATCCATAATAATCATCGATTCGTTAATACCAATATTACACTAAAATATTCTAGAAATTTCAAAAACCAAAAAATCAACATCAGCCATCAAATATAAACTAGAAAACTTATACCACCACCACCGAAAATAGATCAACGTCAGCCGAAGAAGCTATTACCAACGTTCTTTATAATATGTCAACGACTCCATCATCATCTCCGAAACGACATGCATTAAACTGTTTGGTACAAAATAAATTTAATGTATTGGGTAGAATTAGTGGTATTTTAGCTGCAAGAAATTTCAATATTGATTCATCCGGTTGTGTCCGGTACTGAAGCAAGCTGATCCAAGTAGAATGATTGTTGTTTTGCGTGGTCAAGATGTTGTTGTTGTTGAGCAATCTAGAAGACAATTAGAAGATTTGGTATGTAAATGAGGAGCACGAGTTTTAATAAAAAAAATAAACAAATAAAGATTATAATTTATAGGTACCAGTACGATAGTTCTTGATTACAACTGTTATGTAGAAGAGAAATGTTATTGGCAAAAATGGATCAATGAACAATTGGATTTAATTAAACATGTGGGATATGATGATCAATTTATACCTGAAACTGGATTTAAAGTATTATTATAATTTTGATTTCTCTCTAATAAATAATAATGGTAAAAAGTGTTAATGATTTAAAAATTCTAAATATACGAGCGACCAGATGTTTCATCTTAATGATGATAATCTTGATGATGCAAAGCCCCGTACGCCATCATCAGTTTTATAACATGGACATCATCATTTTTATGTTCTTGAAAGATTTATCTAAATTATTTGGTGGAAAAATTGTCAATGTATCAAATGATAGTGTCATAATAGAATAATCTGTTAAACCTGTCAGATTCATCAAATCGATAAAACCATTTGGTATTCTGGAAGCAGCGAGAAGCAGTAAATAAATATAATTGTGATATAATTTATGTTTTAATAATATGTTATATTATATGTATATGTTAAAAGAAGGTGCCAACTGGTTAATTGAAAATATGAATACATACATACATGTAATATTAACCGACTGATCCACGTAATAATAATAATAAAGTTATTGATAATTAATTTATGACTTTAAATATTTATATTAATTTCCTTTATTTAAAAGATATAAAATTTTACAAATCGTTTTAAAAACATTTAAAGAATTTTATAATTAATAAATATATTTAAGGAATTGCTTGATATTGAGGTACTTCTCTATTTTCCCCTTCTCTGCGTTCAGTGTATCTCAATTTTCTAAATAATTAACGTCGATTAGAGATCATAATCAATAATAATAATAATAATATTAATATTAATATTAATATTAATAATATTAATTAATTAATTATACTTACAAATAAACAATCACTGTTATAAATGGAAAAGCAAAAAGGAAGAAAGTCCATAAGAATTTTATTGGGAAAGGTTTATCACTTCGTAAAACTTCCACAACGGAAACAAGTATAAGAACAGACTATATTCATAATAAACATTTATAAGTTATAATCAATTTACTTTCGTTAACTTGAATGAATGAATAATTTAAATTTAAATTTTGCTTACGAATGCAAGAGCCAAAAGAAAAACGAAGAAATTCAAAAGTTCATCACCCAAGTCAAAGAAAAACATTTTTGTAATATTCTTGAATCTTTTTTTTTATAAATTAATAATCGATAATATCAAAAATAAAAGAGAATATTTATTTATTATTATTATTATATTGACCAAAAATGATTTAAATGATTCAAGACTGTGTAACAAAGTTTACATTACACGAGATTGATTCAAAATTATGTATAATACTAATGAATAATAATAAGATTATCTTATCAGCATTGATCATTGATGATGACGGCAATAATAATAATGTTTTTACACAATCTCATTACTGACTGATTTTCCGATCATGATCATGTGCAGCAGTGGGGTCAATTGAAGTCCCTCCAGCATAGTGAAGTTTGTTGTTATGCGAAATGTTATATAGAACCCATTGCTCCTGAAACTTCACCATTATATAGTAGTTACCTCTCTAAATTGGAGATCAAGTTCAGATCCAATTCAAATCTAGTTTATCACTTGCTTTTTTATTGCCAGAATGTTTGCCGTGTATTGTTGCACATATAAAAAAATTCGTGTAACATTTTAAATTTCCACTATTCTAGTCCCTCCTAAAAATTTCAGACATTTCTCCTTCATTCTCCTTCACTGTTCCAGAGAGTCTGACAAATATGAAGCACATTGGAAATCTATTGCACTTAAAAGGCTTTAAATGTTATTTGGAGATCCCTGGGTCATTGTTGAAAAAAATGGAAAAACAAGAAATCTGTTACTATTATTGTTGGTTAGGATGAGGTGCAAATCATATTTAATATATTATAATGAAAGTTTTAAGGAGAAGCAAACCTGATCCATGCTAGTGGACAGTTTCTTACAGATGGAACAATGAGAACAAAAAAAAAAGAATCCACTAAAAGTATACAGGAAAAATATAAAATCGACTATAATAGAATCAAATAAGTATTGTTAGAGAACTAGAACAAGAGAAAAAAATACCGTTTATAATGATTTTAGAAACCAAGATCATTTAGTTAATTATTTATTTATTTACTTGGTGAACCTGTTGAGGCTGAAACAACAACAACAACAACATATAAAATCTGCCGGCTATGTTTGTGAGTTTCTTTGTAAAGTAAAGAAGAATTTATCGTGACCATGTTATTAATATATTATATTAATTCAGACACATGATCCAATCACTTTACAAAAACTAGTAAAGAAAGGTGTAGTTACGTTTTAAGAAACTCGATAAAGGAAGAGGTAACGTTGCCTGATGATCAATTACTTTTTAAACCTTGAAAGCTATAGAGCATTTATTAGTTGATTTGGAAATCTCATTCATCAAGATTAAGTTGTTGCCTAGATAGAATTGTCAATAATAAATTGATAAAAAAGTCAAGTGTACCTGGTGTTGCTGAGATCGCATCTAATTTATTGAACAGATGGTTAAAAAAATAACCGAACCTGCCACCAGAAAAAAAATGCTGAAATGAAAAAGGATTTTTTGAAAATATGTTTGATATTCCTTCCACATCCGCCGCTTCTTCTTTGTCATCATTGATCAAAAAAAAAAAAATGCCAACACAGCAGTTCAAATAAAAACTAATAGAAAAACTGAAACAGATGAGAACGTGCAAGTTTTGCTCCAGATTCTAGGTTTGCAGAAATAAATTTTTTTGAAAATGAGTATTCTGGTGATGATGCTAAAAGGTGGTACATCAACCATTTTTGGCAATGGTCATATTATTAGTAACATTACAACATGGTGTGAACCACAACCATCACAACCATCGTCTTCATCTAATGATTGTGTCAATCGCCAAGTTCCTGACTATCCATATGAAAATGAAGGGCATCCAAAAAAAACTCCACTGTATCCAAAAGAACCGCTAATTCAAAGTTAAAATGTTACATATTGCAACTATTCAACAACAACAGCAAAATGGTCGATCGATAAAACATAATTTTTTTTGATTGTTATTAGATTAAATTGTATTTGATGAATTGGTTAGATTATATGATTTGCTTGATATAATAATTGTAATTCTATGTTGCCCTAAAGCTTCTATCAAACCATAAGCCTTTTTGAGCAGTTCAAACGCCTATAAATGGGACTGATTTCTGTATTATTTCATACGAGTATTATACATTAATACATTTATGATAACTTAGCTAAGAGCAAAATAATTATACTCGGGATAAAGAAGTCTAATACGAATACTACCATAAATGGGAAGAAGAAGTAATATACACCAAGACCAATGAATTTATCAGCTATGTATTAGGAAATAATAAATACATAAGCTCCAAAAAGCAAATCATTTGAATCGATTGATTTAAGTATGAATTGATGGTAAAAACCACCACATAAGTCATAATGCTTGATATGGTGTATGGATGGTTATAGTTGGTCCAGGAGAATTACATTTTTGATAGAAATTCATGTAAAAATCAAAATTTAAATAATCGAGTTACAAAAAAAGAATCATGTTTTTTATACCAATTTGAAGATCAGATATTGTTTGTGTGTTGTGAGATCACGTCCGTGGTAAATACATGGCTTTAACTTTTCGATGATTTCAAATCATTTTCAAAATATCACCTCACTCCAATTCTATATCAATTCATCGTTCAATCAATACATAGCAATTCGTCGCTATCCTCATCAAATCACTTTAAATCAATTCAACGGCCAAGAAAATAATTATTCAAGAAATATTTATTCTTTATGTTGATAGTTTTATTATTTATATGTTTTGTTATGCAAAAATAGTTACATTACAGTATCAGTGAAAAGGATTAGGAAGATACTATACATTATCATGATTAGAAAAGAAATTAAGTTGAACAGTATTTGACAATGCTCAGAATTAAAGACTCATTGATACAAGTCGTAGTACTCAAAACCCTATCTAGAAGGGATCTCTCCAAGTTCCTCTTCTAATTTTCACATAAAGGAAACTTGTCACCTTCCTCTTCTGCTAACAAATTATTGTCAAGTATTCAAATATTACAGGTTATATAATAATAAATTAAAGTTCAAGTGGAAGAAACATATATATGTGTTTTAAAATTATAGATTACCATGACATTAATAAATAGAGTTTTAAAAATCAGTCCATATAGGTTCGCTCGTTAAGTGGTCGGACCTATTTGTGGCACAAGTTTAGGTAATTTTATTTTATCAAGAATCTTGGTTGTTGTTTCTGGTGTCAAATCTTTCTATAATTATTTTTTGAATAATATTTCTTTTTTCACATAAATAAAATCATACATAGTGGTCATCAACTTCCACTAATGTAAATAATTTACCAAGTGTGAATTTCATTTTCGCATGGTGTCGTTGTACATAATCGAAGAAAATATTTACCAACTGGTTCCCTAATAATTTATATTTATATTTATCCATTATATCTAAATTTCCAATATTCTTTAATATATTTTACCAATCAATGTATATGTATAAAAAATTGCAACTTCATTTACACGCAAATTATATGTTTTCATCAATAAAGTATGATTTTACTACTAGTTTTCCTGATTAACCCAGAAAGGAATACGATTTATCAGGAAACGAGATTGGACAACTAGAGGATGATTTATTAAATCTGACATCTAAGCTTTAATACGTTAGATTTAACATCATTTATTTTATTTTCGTTTTCAGATCCCAAAGATCTTAAAAATCATTTGCATAATCTTGGTATTTATTATTATTTTGGAACAATAACATCAATCGCTTATACTGTACACAAGGAGAGAGTTCCACTAAATGTTTAGTCGGAATACTTTATGCTTAATCTGTACCTCCGTATGCAAATAATCACAATTTTTCAAACGTGTTTAAAAAATTAAGTCAAATTCAAAAACGGTTGGTGATTGGATTTGAAAATGATCCCGAGGCTGAATGTTAACAATGGCATGTAGAATTTTTTGTTTGGTTCAAGTGACGATCCGTTTGATTCTAAACATTAATATTAACAAGTCAAAGAATCAAATTTAAAACATTTGGAAAAGTCATAACCTTTCCCACGAAAAAAGACCCCCATACTCTATATTATTATATCACTTATCTTTTTTGTCGTTATTTAATCCTTTCCTTGAATATGAGCACCATTGTTTCCACTATTGTATCGTGCCTATTAGAAGATTCACGATGATTGTGCAATGCGTATTATAATAATTGCATCGCTCAAGTATAAAAGATACTAGGACCATGCAAAAATGAAATTTTTAACATTTGGGATATTTATTTTTGTTGCATTTTAATCTGATGGTTCCATTGCATCGCCGTCTAATTGGTTCCTTCTTTTTTGTGTATGTGTGTGTGTGTGTGTGAATACGCGCCTCCCAATTGCAAGTCGTATATAGATCCGAAAATTTAAATAAATAATAAATCTGATTGACTATTTAGGGTGTCAGATTTAAATTAAAATCTTCCTTCTACAAACATGCAACCGTATCTTCATATCCATGGAAATTCTTCAGGTAATAATATTGATGATTATTACCCTTAATAAACTCTTCCATGGGTAAAGCGATTAGAACATGTTAGTAGGCTTTGATCGAATAAAAGGCTTTAACAGCCGTTATTCATTGAAAACAACTCGATTTCAAGGCTTTAACAG